TCCCAAACAAGCTTGCTATTCTTATCTCGAAACTTTCTCTTCCATGCCCACACCACCTCCTTGATACGCCTTGGTAACACCCAACTCATATGTTGTGAAGCCAGAATATCATTTCACATTTAACGAACACCGTCACAATGAATGAACAAATGATCGATCGTTTCTCCATCCCTCTTACACAAATAGCACCACTCCGTTATACAATAACCCTTTCTTCGAAGATTATCCGCCGTTAACACTTGTCCCCTCACAACCGTCCACAGTAAGAAAGCCACTCTTGGAGGTAATTTACTTTGCCAGACCCTTTGCCAGGAATGAACTCTCAACAGGTTCCAATAAGGATCTGAAATAAGTACGAACAAAGAACAAACCATTTCGTGCCGCCCTCCACCTGCTATAGTCGTCCTCTCCTACCTGAATGTGCACCTCATACAGAGAGGCCGCATAGTCATCCAGCTTCCAATCATGTAAGCCCCTCCCGAAAGCGATGTTTCAGCTAGGATTCCCATTATTTATAACCATAGCATCACTCACCATAGTTGAAGACTCCAGGGCAATGCGATGTAAAGAAGGAAACCGCACTTTTAATGTTTGATCTCCGTATCAACAATCGTTCCAAAATCTGACATTCGCACCGTTCCCTACCACAAAAGCCAACATATTCCGGAAATCGCTCAATCCTTTCCTGATATACCTCCACAAGCTCATCCCATAAGAACCACGACCCTCACCCGAGCGCCACTTCTATTTCCACTTTTGCTCTGTATTTTCTATGCAAAATTCGGTTCCCCATCACTTTCAAACCCTCATACCTCCTCATCTCCCAATACCTATTGCCTTGTTAAAAAGAACCCATACTCCACTATCACCACCATCGATCTTCTTGTTATGGAGTAACACGATACAAGAAACGCAAGCAAGTAAAGAACACACTATCTATAGTGGTTCATTCTCGATGTGAAGTGCGAGAGCTACACCCACTTACTACTGTAAGTTTTCACTACGAGGGAGAACGAGGATTACAATGTGGTTTCGATAATCTCACTCTCTCTTTTCTCCCTACACCAAAAAGGAGGCTTGCCCTCCACACATCCGACACTCAATTGCTCGATAAATGTCATCGATAATGGTAGTGATGCCAAATGGAAGATAAAAGACGAGAAGAGAGGAAAAAAATGAAAATTTGGGGAGGAAGAATTCAATATTACTCAATATATCAACATTTCTAGTTTATGGTAAGTCGTATAATTTAGAATGTCATTTATCCTCTGTTGAGAGAATTCGACTCCTCCAAACTACACTACATAGGTCTTTCCAATGAAACACGATATTTCCTTCGAACTAAGTATTGATACCCCCAATTGAGGGTGGTAACAGTATTTTAAGACATACTTAATGGCATCAGTTGGCTCTTCAGGAAACAAACGAAGACAATAGTGTCGATTTTCCCCTTTGAGCAATAAAGCACTACCCCTAGTGTCAATAGTAGTGATCATTGTGGCCGTTATGTACATTATCTCTGGTCTATTACATACACCTTTTTGTGTTCATACATATTGTAATGGAATTTCTTCCTTTTGAGCTTCTCTTTAAAATAAGTGTGTTTCTGGCGAAGACATGACAATGTTATTGTCATTCATATCGACATATAAAACTCTAAATCTATAACTTGTTTCATGCATAAAGGTGTTGGGAGATCTTTATGGGTAAGAATCATTTGTTTAGGAATTGCAAGTTCGTCACATTTAATAATAAATCCACAAAACTCAAGTCCTGTTGGTTACATATAGTCATTTATGTTGAAGCCTCTTAAGGTTCATTTGTGGTTGAGTTCTGTCAACATTTCACTCTGAATGCTGTTTTCTTTGATACTTTTGTCGTGTTTGCAAACAGATGACATGTAATAATATTTCAGTGTACTGTTTATGTACTAGGAACATGGATGTTGATGCCTCTAGTAGCTACCTATTTTGCCCCACACTAAAAAGATTACAAAGCAGTTTATTGCTTGCTGTGCGGCAACATGCCAGTAGATCAGCAAAAGTAGACTTATTAGAGTACTTTTTACATTTTATATGGTATAATCAATTTTTTTTAACTAAATTTGAGTTGCAATGTTGTGCATTGCTCATGTATAACCTCCTGTTGGTGGAAAATATATTATTGAAGCATAATTGAATGACGATGCTTAAAATTTATCAACATCCGGATTCTTTTATTGTTTAATGAACATTTCCAGCAAAAAACTAGCAGTTCTTTTGCACCTCAGGATGTTCGTGTGTATATAGTTTACGGAAAAATGTAATATCCTGTTCAAAGGATTACGCAGTGTGTGTGTGTGTGTGTATATATATATATTTATTTTTTCACTTGTTGAAGGTGCATTTTTTGTTATAATTCCTGGTTCATGATACATTTCAGGCTGTGAACCAGTTATGTAGTCATTTTGAAGCCTACAGAGATATTCCAAAAATCACAGAGCTGAGAGAGAAGTTTAAGAGCATAAAACAAATTCTCAAATCTCACGTGTTCTCAGATTTTTCCAGGTATACCTGTAGTAGTTTAACGATTGTTTCTTTTTGATATGCTATCGAAGAATACAAGTTATAAGGAGTCTTCTCTTGTTGATTTGAAGTTTGTTATCCACTTGCATGCTATATTGAACCTGTCTGATTGGTGTATATATTAATTCCATAAATTCTCTTAGGCCTAATTGTTTGTTCTCTTGGAATTTTTTTCTAATCTTTAATCTTCAAGATATGTTTGCCAGATGATTGGAGTTGTTGCTAGTATAAGATAACATCAATTGTCCAATATGTATCTGTTCAATCTATTTGAGAAATTTTAATAATTGTTGAAGACAAATTATATATATAAGTTTGTCTAGAAGTTTAAGCTTTTAGTTGAGGTGGTTCAACATGGTATCTACCATCCTCTAATTCTAGTGCTTGAATTAAATTGTGATAATTTTATACACGATTCATATGTCCTTTTACGTAAACTTGGTTTCTACTCTCTCTTCCTATTCATTTCCTTTCTTTTCTCATAAAGAACGTTCCTGTTACTATTTTCACCTCACAGTTTAGGTTCTGGGAAAGAGACGGAGGAAAACAATTTACTACAGCAGTTATCAGATGCTTGCTTAGTCGTTGACGCTTTGGAGCCATCAGTGAGGGAAGATTTGGTGAAGAACTTTTGTAGCAGGGAGCTTACTTCATATCAACAGATTTTTGAAGGAGCTGGTTTGTTCCACTTCTATTAAATGTGTTTCAATTGGTATACGAAATTCAATTTGATGCTGTAGATGAACTTTTTACGTAATTTACACGTATTCCAGAATTAGCAAAACTGGATAAAACAGAAAGAAGATATACTTGGATCAAGCGTAGGTTAAGAACCAATGAGGAGATTTGGAAGATTTTCCCATCTTCATGGCATGTTCCCTACTTGCTCTGTATCCAATTCTGCAAGCTGACAAGGTTGGTTATTTACCCACTATTGGATTTAAAATCTTCACAGATGTGATTGTTGTGTTTGTGTAGCCAGACACTTTATGAAACGTTATCTCAAAGCTTAGCATTGCTTCTTAAATACTCTCCGACAGTAATCTAGCCATTTTTATTTCTTGGAGTAAAGTTGGCCATTCTGATTCACTGATTGTGCTGTTAAATTTGGGTTAACCCATACAGTGATGATTTTCTGGCAATATACATTGTCGATGACATCTAAACCATGTATGTGTGGATTTCCTAACTGATCTATGCTGTTTCGCGGTTAGTGACAGCAATGCCCCAAACAGGGTAGTCTTTTATGATGATTTTGTAAATAATGAATGATATAACAATCTCTGTCTTGAGATGCTAATCAGATACAGTTATGTATCATATTTCAGCAAACAGTTATCGACATATAAACATGGTCGTGGTGTTTTTCTAAAAAAGCAGGACAAGTGCACTAGAGGCACGTTTAAAACATATGTATTATGAGATGCAATTTTATTTTATAGTTAACCACTATGGATTAACCCAAGCCAAGACTTTGGGAAAAATGGTAGATGGAATTCGACAAAGTAATGTTGATCTTATCTTCTTAGAACCAAAATGTTTGTATCAGTACACTATTTAACCATTCCCTGGTTTTTAAAATTACCTCTTGATTAAATTTTTTGAGCATGTCAAGATGTGTCCTCAATCCCCGGAGTGTAAAAAATTCAAAAATAACAGAAATATTGTGTTAGCGTGTCCCGACATTGCTCGGCACATTTCCTTATCTGATACTTATCATACGTAGACTGTTAGATTACGCCCAAAGAATAATGCGGTAGTTGTAGTGCAGTTTTGGGATGTCGTATCCACAGAAAAATGGAAAAATGTTTAAAGGAGTTCAATAACTTAGGGTCCTTGTGATTTGGATGAAAAGAATTTTTTTATTTAATTAAAATGTAAATATCACGGGATATAATGATGGAATTTAAGTCAATATGTAAAATAGTGAAGCGTCGGAATTCCCTCAACTGAATTGGATCAATCAACATCAATAATTCATGCATTTTCTACTCAATTAGAAGTTTTTATCATAACTTTCTAATCGGAGGATTTAGCAATACAAACCAATTTAATTCAATGTGTAATTCTAGAATTGTAGTTTCCTAAATCTCATTCCCACATTAATTTATTGAAATTAGAATAAAAAAACGACTATATATATATATAACATATAGCAGTAATTAAATCACGCCAATAAAATATCTGAAATTTAAACTCAAACAAATATTTTAATTGTTCAATGGACGAAACTTGATTAAATCCATGAAAAACTTAATAAAAGTTAAGTCAAAACTAATTCAAAATAAGGAAATATAAACCATATAATTGTTTAAACAATGAAAAACACATTACATGAGTAAAAGATGTTGAATTCTCCAATTCCAATTGAGTTCCTTCGTAGCTTCACCAATGTTTATTAGTTCTTCATGAAGTTTTTGAGCCAAAAGTGATGATAGAATGGTGTAGAATGAAGAATGATGAGGAATGAGAAGTTCTGGAATGTTTTTGGGGTCTTTTCTAGGCTTTTCGAGCCCAAACATAAAAAAAACCTGAGTTTGCACGGCGCGGCGCCTAGGCGCCATGGGAGCAGCGCCTAGGCGCTGAAAATCTGTTCTTTTGGGTCTGTGCAGTGCCTGGGCGCTGCGTTGCTGTCTCGAATTCTACATCATTTTCAGTATTTTCGTCATAACTTCATCTCCCGATATCCGATTAAGGCGATTCAAAATGCGTTGGAAAGCTAACTCAAGGGGCTACAACTTTGCTTCAGATACCATTTTCGAATTCGATCATTTTCCATGTCAAAACTGGTCTCAATATAAGGCTGAAAACTGATGCAAAACTTTTCAGCTTAAAAGCTGATTTGTGATCATGTTTTGGTTATATTTCATCCATTTGACTCCTTTCTTCATCCAATTGACCTGTAACGCTCTCGAATCTTCATCACAAGGTTGGAAACAAGTTTAGAGTATTTGCTATTCAGTCCTGAACTTTCACTTTATTCCATTTTGATCTTTTTCACTTGTTTCTTCCATTTTCCACCGTTCTCACCCATTTGCAACCTAAACCAAGATATAGAAGTATTTAGTGCATTTAGGCGTCAAATAATCATAGAAACGTAACTATTAATGGGTGAAAAACGTAATAAATATTTGACATTGTATACTTGATTTAATGCTGTGGCTATTAAGCATATAGATGGGCTGCCCAATTTTTGTTGTTTCCTTTCTGATTTGTATTGATGATACACATCCTGTGTATCAACTTTGATTAATATAATATTCGATTACCTTTCAAAAAAAAAAAACGTAATAAATGTGTTATTATCAACTGCTCAGAGAATGTGTTTCTGCTTCCTATATATCTATTTACTGTAGGAGACAGATAACATTTAATTTTACCTTTTAAGATTGTCAGAAATGATATATAATTTTAACTGAACTTTCACACTTTTCCTGTCTCTCTCCAGGACACAACTCATGGAGATTCTTAATAATCTTAAAGAAAAGCCAGATGTTGGGACATTATTGCTGGTAAGTTTCTCTTCCGATATGTTCATTCCTTTGGTGTTGGTCTAAAAATGTCTTAATCTCTAATTATGCTTTTTCCTTCTTGACTATACATAAATGGTTATTTTGAACTTTGGCATAGTGGTGCTACATTATTGAACTAGACAATATATAATCTAATTATCTCAACCAATTTAACTCTATATATTCTTGATGATATACATTTCACGACCTGTTAAATGATATTCTTCTCATGATATCGGTCCTTTGCAAGATGTTGTATTCAGTTGAATTCGTTGACGGAAAAATGGCTGGGCTGAGTTTTGGCCCAGAGAGGCAGTCAAGCACTCTCCCTTTATTTTTCTCAATGATTGAATTGAAGAAATGTGTCGGGTCAAGCAGGGTTGTTTTCTGAAAGTTTCTGTGGCTGTTGCCCTCCTTTGTGCATACAGTCTCAAGGTTGTCTTGTCATTTTTTTCTGCCTATATTTCTCTTTTATTGTATGGAATTCTTTTAGCTGAAAGGATTCAGTTGGTTAAAAAATATCTGATGAAACCAATATTATGGCCTAGAGCACGGGGTATATAACTACTAGTACATAAAATTTTGCATGGTTAGAAAATTCCCTTGCATAAAAGCTTTCAATATTGGTATGCATTTTCCATTACATTTTCATTAGGTCTTGACATTAGTGCACATTGTTTATTTCTCATTTTTTGTCTTAATTCTGTCAATAAAGTGGTCAAGCTTTTGTTTATCTTGTCACCCAAGGGAGAGAATCATGCTCATTCATGTGTTTATTTTTATAATTCTTTAATCTATTGAAAAATTCATGAAATTCCTGTCTGCCAAATAGAATTGTTTCCTTTTTGGGCCCCAGCATGACTGTGCAGACCTATTGTCTATCATTACTTGTGGGATTGGGTAGATGTATTGATTTCCTTTCTGTTTTACTCGTGTTCAAGTTACGACTCTTTACCTTTGTTAGCCTATTAATCTGTATTTCCATAAACATTATAGGCAATCTATATTTTTTTTCTTCCATTTTTTCTTATTGAAGGTTGTTTAGTTTTTGAAAAGTTGTGTTTGCAGTGTATGCATGCGAGTCTTTGTACATTTCTTTCCGTGTCACATATCATCAACAAATCTTTTCACGGGAAGTTCACATTTATTCAATGATATTTATCCTCACATACCAGGTTGAGCTTTGTGGTGTTTGTAAATTTGATGCATGTTGTTAGGCACTACAGCGAACATTGGAATTTGAGGAGGAGTTGGCGGAGAAATTTGGTGGTGGAAGTCAAAATAGAGAAACGGAAAATGACAGTGGGGAACTACATGAAGGGGAAAATACTAGTCATGCTATTTCAGACATTCGGAAGAAATACGAGAAAAAGCTTGCCGCACATCATGGAAGTGGAAATGAGGCATGAATCGATGATCGCTTGATATAGCGAGTGCATTATAGTTAACTTACTTTATTATTGACTGGTTACTTATGCCATTTTCTTTTATTTTTAGGAACACGATCAACACAGAGATTTAACATTGCCTGGAGCTGGGGTATGGTCTCCTAACTTGATAGTTCTTGTGTAACTCATAAATGGCATTCTCAATTCCTTATGATGGGTCACATTATGACCATTAAAGGTCTTGTCCAAATTAGCGTGCTTCTGGTATATTTCTGAGTAGGTGACATGAATTATCATTGCTTATCAAAATCAAAATGAGTGGAAATCTGTATTTGTGTTCAAGAAAACCTAACTACTTGCAGATCATTTTATGAAATAATTTATACTTTTGACCTCCAACATGTTCGTCACAACTCAGCAATCATCTTGATTTGGGTCTTTATTTTATTTCTCATTCAGAATTTAACCTAGCATGGAAATTGTTAACTTCTTATTTTGATTGACATGGCAGTTCAATTTCCACGGGATCATTTCATCTTGCTTTGAACCTCACTTGACAGTATATGTAGAACTGGAAGAGAAGACTCTTATGGAGAATCTAGAGAAACTTGTCCAGGTAGTTTGGATTATTTGAATCCTTCAATGTTGTGCCAAATACCTTTTTTTTTTGCTTAATTGATATGCCCTGTTTACATCAGGAAGAAACATGGGAAACTGAAGACGGAAGTCAAACTAATATCTTGTCTAGCAGCGCACAGGTAAACAAATCAAAATCTTGGAGGGAGTTCATATATTTGAATCCTTAAGAGATGATATATATTTTTAACTTTTTTCATATACGTTGGCTTGTGTTTATTTAAAATTTTCCCTATGTTAGTTTACGGGATTCTCGTTCTTACTTTCTTTTAATGTTCTTTTGTGCTTAAAAAACAGAAAGAGGGAGAATATATAGGGTTAGAAAGTGATAGGAAATAGAGCATATCTGATGCTTGGACCTGATTTTCTTAGGTCCTTTTATTATGATCTTTTTATCTCTGGTCTTAATAAATGAGACTGGTAGGAGAAAGACTTCCCATATTGACAAGGCACTACAGATCCTACTAGTACTAAGGTGGAATCACAGGTTAGGCACTTAAAAACGTGCAACAAAGTTTATGGCAGTTTAATGCACATATGAAAACAAGTTCCTTTCCTCATTATTTTCATTTTAATGACACTATGTTTTCTGCATATACCTACTTATTAATAGTTTCTTTTGGGAAGAGAAGCTGGCTCCTTGTATGCTGTAATATTGCTGTTTTTCATAGATCACACAGTTTCCAATGTTACTGACAACTATAGTGCCTCTATTATCGTTTCTGAAATTTATTGTCACAAATCTCTATTTTAATTGTTGGATATTTATGTTAGTTGAATATCTGAGTATTATTCCTCTCTCTTTCAATCCCTTCTATTTTGGATTCACTAGGCTTCAATTTAAAACATTTCTAACAATCACTTCACTGAAGCTCTAACTTAAGCGACGCATTTGTTTCTGTCATGAAGTTCAGTAGGAATTCTCGGGTTTTAACATGAAGGTCATTTAGGTAAAATATGCCATAGGTTCATGTCATGGTCCTTGGTTAAGGTTAGTTGTGAGATTGTATTGATTGTGCTTCTACCTTGTCCAAAAGCATTACCTTGAAGATAGACAAGTAACTTGGTATGACATTTATGATTATCGGAGTATCAACCTATGGTGAACACTCTTTATTTCCGTTTGATCTCTAGTCTGTGCATGTAACTCTTTTCATTTATTCATGTATTTTTTAAAGTTTATTCTATGGATGTTGTCCTTTTTGTCATTCATTATACCAGGGAGAATTTGGAACTTGACTGATTAAGGAGGCAATGCCAAAATATTGTCCAAAATGCATTTATTTCAGATATTACTCTATGATAGAAATGAAGAAAACTTTGATATACCCTTGATCATTTTTAGAACCTATTGAAATGTAGGTACAAAACTGAAAGATAGAGTCGTGACAATATGACAGATAACCTTTCCCCCTTGGGGCAAAGAATCAGTATAATTTTGACAAGGAGAGACAAAGAATCGTGTTTACCAAGACAAAATCCAAGGATATTAATATGAACATGATTGTATTATTTCATTTGTGTTGATTGCTTATCTATAGAAATGGACCTTGGGTTTTAAGCCAATTTCTCTAAACAAACCAGCTGTTTGAATTGATATCGTTCTAATTGAGTAGAACCTACATTGTTCATTTTATAAACACCTTTCACGCAATACTGTGGCTCTTGTTGCTAATAGGAACTTTACCTACTACTACATTTCTTGATGATTATTTTTTCGGAATTTCTGACATAAGAAAAATTTGTTACACAAATTGCAAGGGATTTTGTTTTCCTTTTCATTGATATTTCTACATCTAAAATTTTCTCTCTCTAATGTAATTTTCTCAGATTCATACTGAATTCGCTACAACGTCTCTTCCTTCAGCCCCTCTCCTTGGGGGGTGGTTTTTTAGATCAGATCACTAATGAAAGTAGCCACCCGATCTTATTGCGCATTATTCTCCTAGCAGTTGTTCTTTCTTTTTGCATCTCTATGAGCTCGTTGATATTATTAATTTATTACCCATACCAAGTTGATTTCTTTAATTGTTTCTTGAAGGTCTTTTCGATAATAAGGAGGAGCTTAAAGCGATGCAGTGCTTTGACGAAAAATCAGACACTGTTTAATTTGTTCCAGGTGTGTTTTTTGAATATCCACATTCAGATGGCCCTGCTAGGGAATTTACTTGCCTGGAGGACTACTAAATTACAAGCAAGATTTTGATCATGTTATTTCTAGTCGAGTAATATTTATGAAAATCTAGCCTCTGATATGGACGTTCTTGGACTGCTGCAATTTCTATTTGGTAGTCATTGATTATTGTGTTTCCCGTTGGTCAGAGAAGACAAAATGTTCATCGTAATGGCGAGATCTTACTAAAATTTACAGACCTTATATGATCTTTATTTTTTTGGCAAACTTTGATTATCAAAGGAAGAGGGGAAAAGGAAAGGAAATAGAGAAGTTACAGGTTTTGAAATTTTTGTACAGCACATGCGCAAGTTATCTGTTTTTTGGTCAGATAATACTCTAGAATGCATCATCCAGTTATTTATGGTAATTACTAAAACCAGACTATAAGAACATTCAATTCTACTTGGTTACAGAATATTTCTCCCTGACTTATTGTCAATGCCCTATTGGGATGTCCTGAATTTAGAATCCAAACTAAATGTTGGAACTCATTAAGAAATGTTCTTCATGGTAGCGTTAAGGATTCTTTCAATGGTACATTCTCGGTTCGTTCTTACTTTAGATCCTTATTAGAACCTGCGCAGAGCTCATTCCCATGGAAGAA